TCTCGAAAGTATTTATCTCCTGCTTTTTACACCCGACCGGAGCTACTGTTCGTGTCATCAGCTGACGAGTCACCTTCGCCAGTTCACCGATATCCATAGGTCGCGCTGCGTCTACTAGCCTCAGCTGTTGGGACAAGGCGGCAGGCACACTCTCAATAAATTGCGACGCCAACAACTGTGCCTCCGAATCCTCATCGATATTCGGCAGCGCACGGCGCAACAATCTGGTAAGCTCTACAGCAAGCACCAGCGAGTCACCAGCAGCCGACAGCCTCGCCAACCGGAACTCCTGCAGCGCCTTCTCCCTGTCCACTGGGCTGTCGAACTCCGTCTTCAGCCGCCTGGTGACCGCCTCCCACGTCGTCTCCCCGCCAGCACCGTCCAAGCCATCATATACGGCTCTTGCCCTTCCTCTCAGCAGCGTTCCCAGCACCACCAGCTCCGCCTTCGGCTCCTTCACCCCCACTAGCTCCGCCATGGCCTCAAACTCCTTCAGAAAGCTCCGCACATCTCCGTCCTCAAACTCCTTTGGCCATGGTATCTTCAGCCTTTGTATAGGCAGCCACACATCTGTGAAAATTGACTAGTGCCTTATGAACACTGTTGACTCCAATTTAACTGTTGACAATAACACAACAGAATTTGAATAATTAACTCATGATCGACTTGAAAATTCAATATATTTTTAGTGCTTTGTAGAGTGTCGATTAAGTATATGTTTATATATGTTGGGTACGTTAGATCTGCAGAACTCACTTGATAAAGGTCTTAATTTTGGATTTTTATACATGGGCTAAATCAGTTGACCTTGAGACCATACATTTCCAAACAGGAAAATCCTTGATTGTGATTGCTTGATGTGTTGTTTGAGTGTATGTTATTTTTGTGACTGGCCCAAGGACGTTTCTATGATGTATAAATAAATGCGATTTGTGTGCTTGAGATCATTATGTTTGCTGGGTATTTGTAGAATACACTTTCTACGCCTTATCAAATCTTCTTCCCTTACTTAATGTGGCTCTGGGACTCTCAGATTAGAGTCGCCTATCGTGTTAATGGTTCTTTGTTTCGTTCTCTTTTATCTATTAAGATGAACTCGAAATAGTTTCAAGGATATCTAGTGACGAAAATAACAGAATAGAGTTGTGGAAATTTTACTGAAATCATGTGAAGATATCAGTTAGGGAATTGTTTAGAAAGAATAGAAGAGTATTGAGCTATTCATTGATGAATATCCACGATTTTGCAATCGTGAATTTGAGTACTGAACTTTTTTTCTTTACGCAAGAATATTTGTTTTACGGAGTTATAAGCAGAATTCCTACAAGTAGAGCAGTTACGCATTCACATACAAAATCTAAAGTCCTGCATTATGTTCCTGATTACCAGATTGTGTATGTGGTTTCTTGAAGAGTTTGATAGGCGCACGATACAACTTTCCAAAATACTTCCAAGCTTACAGTACTTGTCTACATTAGATCGATTAAGGATTTCAGTATGAATTAGGCAATCAAAATCTCTAACTTTGCACATTTACGATTTCCATTCACTGAGTCACTTAAGACACATATTAACACATTGAAATCATGAATCAGTCGTCATAGTTAGATTATCATTAGAAACATAGGAAGTACTGAAAGACAGCCGTTTTGTCCTGGTATGTGACTCATCACTGACAATGCACATCCACAACTCCTGTTACTCACAGGATTCGAACGCAGGATCTTGCTCACAAACGCTTAACCTCTGAACCACTAAGCCGGCATCGAACGATGCTCATGTCTAACTATGATCAATCTCGGAATTGTGTGCGACCGTACCCACTTGTACTGCCTCACATCCGACACCGGGTTGAACTTCACTGATCATGTGGTTTCATTAGAACTTCAAGAATTCCCCTCACGACTCTAATCTAGTCACTAGTGTTCAAGCACATTTTACAATCGATATTCACCGATAATTTAGAGTCAAATTAACGCAGCTGACATTATGCATCAATCATTTATTTCCCACTTTGGTTTCTTAGAGAAAAAAATCAATAACAGAGAAAAAAGAACCATCTTTTATCTCTTTCAAGTAATCATAAACATTTTAAAGCTTTAATTGATTTGTTGGTGTAGAAATGAAAAGAGATTAGAACAAGAATGCCATTTATGTCTACATTTGGAGAGAAAAACAAAGCCAATCCAATCATCTTTTGTAGTTAGTTACATAAGAAAAAAGGAGCTGAACCCAACAATCATCGAGAATTATCGAAATTTTATACTTATTATCTATTATTGTACATAAGTTTTTATTTTTTCTTTAATGACGATAAACCCAAAGCGATATCTCAATCAGCATAGATTGTGTGTGTGTGTTCTGAATACTTTTTGTGGTATGTTTCAGTTATATTGATTGAAAATAATCATCATCATAATAATAAGCATTTATGGACAGAATAATTTGTTATCTAAAAACAATAGGAATTTTGAGATGGTGTAGAAAACTTGTAGCTCATGTGGATGATTGTGGTGGTGTTTCGTTCTCTGAGCTGGCTGGATGTTTTGGTTGTGGAGCTTTCATTGTGTGTGAAGAAGAGCAGGAACTTGGATTCATATTCACTGTTCAAAAGAAAAGTATCGGTAGATGTGTGTGTATGTGATAACTATGACAAACGATTCGAGAAGTACAGCAGTATGTATGAGAATCGCTCACAAAGGCTCAGATTTATCGGATTTCGAGAGTTCCCGATGATAAACATTTCAGTATATTACCTAAATTTAAAACTATTTAATCAATTTGTACTTCACTTCATTATCTTACCTATTAATACTGTTGAAATCAAGGAGTCGATCACTATTAGACCACCATTAGAAACATGGAATCAATGGACGTTCCAATTCCTCCTAGTAAGGGTCTCATCAGTGACAGTGCGCACCCACGACTCCTGCACCGCGGAGGATTTGAATTCAGAACCATCGAACTTGCGTGCGAACGCCTAACCTCTGGACCACTGAGCCGGTATCCAGTGGAGTTATTGTCTAACTTAGATTAATTCACCGTCTTCCGTAGCCTCGTACACAGTCTTCGGTGAGCAGTGCTTCACATTTGAATAGGGTTAAACAACAATCTCCATAACTGTCAAATAAAATATCGTAGAAAACTCAGTCGTGGATGAGCACTGTCACTGATAAGTTCCGTACTAGGATGCAACAACCGTCTTTCAGTGCTTCCAGGTTTATTCTAATGATGGTAATCTAACATTGATAGATTCATAATTTCATTAAGTAACTCAACAATCTCCAAAACCCCTTTTTTAAATACTGCACCGAAATTCTTTAAAACACATATCATGTTAAACTAATAATGCTTCTCAGTTGCTAACATCTTCCCTTCAATGTTCAATTCGTGCCCTAAAACTAAAATACAAACTTATGCATTAGGGAAAATGCAATTCCTATTGTGGTAGTGTTTCATTCTCTGAGCTGGTTGTTTCGGTTGTGGAGCTTTCATTGTTCTTCTACTGAACAGTAACATCATCGTTAGCACAAACTTCAGATAGCAGAAAGGAAGCAATAAAAATAAAGTTGCAAGCAATGACAGGTCAAAAGTCAACAGCAACCAATCAAGATTGAGGTTAGCAGAACAAGCTACAGACAGGTCAAACGTGGAGAAATTCGAATGCTTCATTTCTTCTACCTGAAGTTTGTGCTGATGATGTTACTGTTCAGTAGAAGAACAATAAAAGCTCCACAACCAAAATAACCAGCTCAAAGAACGAAACACCACCACAATAGGAATTGCATTTTCCCTAATGCATAAGTTTGTATTTTAGTTTTAGGGCATGAATTGAACATTGAAGGGAAGTTGTTAGCAACTGAGAAGCATTATTAGTTTAACACGATATGTGTTTTAAAGAATTTTGACATAGTGGAGATTGTTGAGTTACTTAATGAAATCATGAATCAGTGAATGTTAGATCACCATCATTAAAAGAAACCTGGAAGCACTGAAAGACGGTTGTTGAGTCCTAGTCTGGAACTTATCAGTGACAGTGCTTATCCACGGCTGAGTATTCTATGATTTTTTTATTTGACAGTTATAGAGATTGTTGTTTAACCCTATTCAAATGTGAAGCACTGCTCACCAAAGAGAGTGTACGAGGCTACGGAAGACGGTGAATTAATCCAAGTTATAAAATAACTCCACTCCTCAGTGGTCCAGAGGTTAAGCGTTCGCACGCAAGTTCGATGGTCCTGGATTCAAATCCTGTGAGGTGCAGGAGTCGTGGATGAGCACTGTCACTGATGTGACCCTCACCAGGAGGAAGTGGGCCGTCCAGTGATTCCATGTTTCTAATGGTGGTCTAATAGTGATCGACTCCTTGATTTCAACAGTATTAATAGGTAAGATAATGAAGTGAAGTACAAATTGATTAAATAGTTTTAAATTTAGGTAACAAACTGAAACGTTTATCATCGGGAACGACTGAAAATCCGATACATCTGAGCCTCTGTGAGCGATTCTCATACATACTGCTGAACTTCTTGAATCATTTGTCATAGTTATCACACACACATATACCTACCAGTACTGCTCATTTGAACAGTGCAAATGAATCCAACTTCCTGCTCTTATTCACAATTTTCGGGTCAGGCATTGCTGAGGTGCCCCATACTAGATCCAAAAAAACAGTTATCCAGTGTTTTCAGTTTTCTTTAGTAATATGCTCTAACTAACATTGATTGCGTTCATGATTTCCATATGTTCTAATGATTGTTTTGGTTTGAATTTTCAAAAATGACCGTATACAAATCTTTTATCTGGATCATATTTGAGTATCTTATTAAACTACTACTTAAATTATTGTGATTTAGTCAGTAGTATATGAAAAAATTGGGAGTTTCTTTTTTCAGCTGATCATTTCATGATCTATTTTAATGTAACTCACAATTAAAATGATCGTTATTTTCATTATTTATGCCTTATTTCAATCTTTTTCGGCAAACATAATTTAGGTTGAAGCAAAACGTGCTCTACCAAAAGAAGTATTAAGTTCAAGTAATGCTTTAGTGAAACAACGAAGTTTATTACCGAATGCATTTGGTAAGTTATACTACTGCTAATTAATTCATTGTTTTTTTTCTATACTACTTACTTACTTACTTACTTGCTTAATTACATACTGCTTACTTACCCACCAAAGTGAAGCATAGGCCGACGACAAACAAACTCCAACCTACTCTGGTCCACAGCCTCCCTTTCTATTCCTGCCGGATTGCTGTTCATTCTTCTCATGTTTGTCTCCAATAGTCGACGTGATGGGTTTTTTCCGCCCTCCTCTGCTTCTTCGTCTTCTTCGAGTCTTGAGGAGTTCATGTGAAGACTTGTCTTGTGACACAGTTGGGTGATTTCCTTAATGTTTGCGCTATCCACTTCCAGCGCTTCTTTCTGCTAGACTCTGGTTTGTTTTCTCTTGCAGTAGATTGTTACCGATGGATCCTCAGTATCGTATAGAGACAAGGGCATCTTGTTTTGGATGATGGCTTTCTTGGCGTCTGGAGGTAAACACTGTATTCAGTGGACAGCTAAGACGCAGCTGGACGATCTGGACTTTGCAGATGATCTGGCTCTTCTATCGTACGCGCAACAACAAATGCAAGAGAAGACAACCAGTGTAGCAGCGGCCTCAGCAGCAGTAGGTCTCAACGTACATAAAGGAAAAAGTGAGATTCTACGATACAACACAACATGCACCAACAAAATCACTCTTCATGGAGATGCTTTCGAGGACGTTAACACCTTTACATATCTAGGCAGCATCATTGACGAGAAAGGTGGATCCGATGCAGATGTGAGGGCACGGATTGGCAAAGCAAAGGCTGCATTTCTACAATTGAAAAATATCTGGAACTCCGAACAACTTTCAACCAAAACCAAAATCAGCATTTTCAAAATAAATGTCAAGACACTTCCACTGTATACAGCGGAAACTTGGAGAACTACGAAAGCCATCATCCAAAAGATACAAGTGTTTATTAACAGTTGTCTACACAAAATACTTCAGATTCGCTGTCCAGACACCATCAGTAACAACCTACTTTGGGAAAGAACAAACTAGATTCCTTGATTGGAGGAGGAAATCAGGAAGAAGCGGTGGAAATCGATAGGACACACTACGAAAAGTACCGAACTGCGTCACAAGATAAGCCCTCACTTGAAACCCTCAAGGTAAAAGGCAAAGAGGAAGGCTGGGGAACCCATTACGCCGAGAATTAGAGAAAGATATGAGAGGAATGAACAAAAATTAGACAGAATCGGAATGCGAAGCTCAGGACAGAGTTGGTTGGAGAAAACCATTGGGCGGCCTATGCTCCATTGGGGGTAACAGGCGTAAGTAAGTAAGTAAGTAAGTAAGTGTCGTGGCTCGCCAATTTTCCGCCCTATTCAGTAAAACTGTCTTGACATTTGTGCTGAAAATCCATATTTTGGTGTTTGTTGATAGTAGTTCAGAGTTGCAGATGTTATTCAAATGTAGAAATGCTACCCTTTTTACTTTGCCAGTCCACCCCTTCTCATCTACATCAGATCCACCTTGTTCATCACTCAAGCTGCCTGGATATTTATTTTTAAGCGGTGTACATCCTGTAGAGCTCTTTAATCGAGTATGATTTTATTTCAGTCTATCAAAGAAAAAAAAGGTGAAACTTTATTAGATATGCATCAAAGTGACAGCAAATTTGCAGCATGAAACAATGCCGATAATACTTTTATTGAAGTGCGAATTGAAAATTATTTTTTTGAAATAAGCGGCAATGTCATCATGACCGACAAAACAACGAAAAAATTTTACCAAGAAAAAACCTGAAACAAAACAGATTTATAAATAATAATCATTTTTTTTATTAAAAAATTCCCAATGACAAAATAATTTCAATTTTCTAAATTTACAAACATAATTTGTGACAAAAAAGAATATTAATTGTATTATATTTTCAAAGTATCCGATTGATTTCGATAGAAAATAGATAGAATTTAGTTAGCGTATGTTTCGTCCTAATTGACATTTATCTACAGCCAGATATGTCTGTCACATCCGTCTACATTGTCTACATTATGTTCAATCAAAGTTAAAGACATATTATAATATAAACTATTGAAACCATGAATCGATCAACAATGTTAGACCACCTGGAAGCACTGAAAAACGGCCGGTTCGACCTGGTATGGGACTCATCAGTGGCAGTGCGCATCCATCCCGCAGGATTCGAACCCAGGACCTTCAGTATTGTGCGCAAACGCCTAACCATTGGACTAGTGAGCCGGTATCTAACGGTGTTAATGTCTAACTTGATCAAAAAATTCACGGAGTTGCGCAACCTCATACACAGTCTTCGAGAATAGTTACTGTCTACACCCAAAACAGGGTGAACTTCAAATGTGTAATTATAACAATCTTCACAACCCCATAATGCAAACATAGTTTGTGACAAAAAACATATTAATTATTATATTTTCAAAGTATCCGATTAATTTCGATAAAAAATAGATAGACTATAGTTAGCGTATGTTTCGTCCGTATGTGCCTGTCACATCTTAGAGTGTATAATCATGCTGACTCCAGTAAAATTCTTAACGTATCTAATGATAAACAGTTGTTATCCACCGAACACTATGCGATTCATATTGTAATGAAACATGTCGGCTATTCAATCAATACCCCCCCCCGCACTTAGATTTCACTTCGACAACAAAAGGTTTTGATGTTTGATCGCTTGTGATTAGTTTTGTAGATTCACACTGTGCAGTACTTCAACAGTGATACTAAGCATCTATCTACACCGTAATCTCCAATAAAACCTCTAAAACATGACAATTCCCCAATCATTGTTTGAACTTGTTCCTTTCTTGCTTCCTCTTCTTATTTAGCACTGTCGAATGAAGTCGATTCAGCAGCTACAGCAGCTGCCACAATTGCTGTCGCCGCTCTGGCATCAAGACAACAACAACAACAACAGCAACAACAGCAACATTATCAAAATTTACAAAACTCAGGATCTGCATTTGTATCGCTTGCTTATTCATCGTGTAAGTTGAAATAGGAACACATTGTTTTTGTTTAGAGAGAGGATTATGGGGGTTGAGTGACTTTTTTTTGTAATCCGAAATCGATCCATGTTATCACTGACAGTGTGTGTATCCACGATTCCCATAACTTGCAGGATTCGAGTAGAGGACTGTCAGCATGGATGTTTAGAAGATTTATCTGATTACTGATAATAAAACAGTTTGTCATTGATCTTATGAGAGGTAGGCGGGCAGGACTCCATAGCTCACTGGTCTAGTAAACTAGGGGTCAGGGGTTCAGTTCTCCTCCAGTCAGTCAGTCAGTCAGATGCAACGTAGAACTTCGTACGTAAGTACATTAGTTCATGTTGCCATACCACATCAGCACAGAGAAATAATTGTCAATTCAAATCCAATAGTAGAAGAGGTAGTAAAGGTATTAGAAGTAATCGGAGATATTAGGATTAGAAGATATTATTCAAGAAGTATGATTCAGTGAGAAAAGTTTAGAAAGTTGAAGAATCAAGAAGATTAGGATTTGAGAGAACAAAAAGAATAAATGCACCATTGTGAACAACTTTGAGACGTCATTCAAGGTCTCTAACCATCGATTATTATCATCTCGAGGACCCCAACCAGGTAGTCGACAATTACCAACATGGCTAAGTCCACTAGTCAATAACTTCATGGATTTCTGCCATGTTTTGGTTTGGCCACCCCTAACTTTCTTCCAACCTACTCCTACACTACAAAACAAAGCTCTTCGAGGCAGTCGGTGGTTAGGCATACGCAGCCAGGAGGCAGAGTGTTCACACCTGCTTTGAACTGAGACCATATCGCTAAACCAAAACATGGCACGAATCCATGAAGTCATCGACAAGTGGACTGAGTCATGTTGGTAAGTGTTGACTACCTACCTGGTTGGGATACGCAAGACGATAGTGATCAATGGTTGAAGACCTTAAATGGTGCTGGTGTATCCATTCTTCGTATTCTCTCAAATTATGATTTTCTGAATTCGTCATCACCCGTATCTTTATCTTTCTAAATTCATTTCACTAGATTATACTTCATGAAAAATATCTTCGAACACTAATCTTCTCTATTACCGCTAATACTGCTATCATCAGTACTACCTGATATAAATCTATAAAGTGTTTATTATAGGGTTATAAAGATACTTGAGTGGATGTCCTGAATGTGTAACTCTAATATTGTGAGCGTAGCTTGGATTAATATGAAGATAGACATTAGCATTGTGTTGGTTGCCACTGGCTCACAGGTCTGGAGGCTAAGCGTTCTCGTGCCCAACACAAAGTTCTGAGTTTGATTCCAGTTCATGCAAGGCTTGAATGTTGATTTCTGATGAGTCCCATACTACGTAAAAATAGCCATTCAGTGTTACCAGGTTTCTCATAGTAGTCTAGAATTATCAATTCATGATTTCAGTGAAATAGGGTAAAGTTTGAAGATTACTTATTTACTTACTTGTTTACACCCGTTACCCACAATGAAGCAGGGGCCGCCAACCAGTATTCTCCAATCTACTCTGTCCTAGGGCACCCTTTCCTGTTCTATCCAACTTTTGTTCATTCTTCTCATGTCTGTCTCCGTTTCTCGATTCAATGTGTTCCTTGGCCTTCCTACTTTCCTTTGAGCTTGAAGGCTTGTCTTGTAACGCAGCTGGGTGCTTTCCTCATTGTTTGCACTATCCACTTTCAGCGCTTCTTCTTGGTTTGCTCCTCCACTGAAGGAATCTGGTTTGTTCTCTCCCACAGTAAATTGTTGCTGATAGTGTCTGGACAACGAATCCGAAGTATTTTGCATAGACAACTGTTCATAAATAATTGTATCTTGTAGATGATGGCTTTAGTAGTTCTCCAAGTTTCCACTGCATACAGTAGAACTGTCTTGACACTTATATTGAAAATTTTGACTTTGGTGTTGATTGTTAATCAGAGTTGTTTTAAGTTCTACATTGAGTTGTACATTTGTAGAAATGCAGCCTTTACACTCACATCTTCATCAGATCCACCTGGCTCGTTAATCATTCGGCCCAGATCTGCAAAGGATTTTTACATACTGCAAGGCATCTCCCTTAAGTGTGATTTGGTTAGCACATGTTGTGTTGTATCAGAGAATTTCGCTTTGCCCTTTATGGTATGTTAAGACCTGGTGCTGTTGCAGAGGCTGCTGCTGCAACACTCACCGTCTTCTCTTGTATTTGTTGTCACGTTTGCGATAGAACAGGCAAATCATCTGCAAAGTCTAAATCGTTCAACTGCATCCTAATTGTCCAGTTGACAAAACACACTTTCAGATGATATTTTTAAAACCATACCAATTATCATATACGCATTATTTCACTTTCTAATTTATCATTTGAACAGATTTTTAAAAAAATGTCTGTCCTTTTTACTTCTTTTTTTCTATTCATAATCAGTGATACCATTCAGTAATCAATTACAACCATTTTCATTCACATCGAATAATTATGTTGGTCAACAACCATTGACCACAACTAATTTATCATTGGATTCCTCAGGTATACCACACCATCATCACCAACATCACCAACATCCACAACAACATTCACATCATTCAAATCCCATGGAATTGACACCAGCAAGTGTATTACAAAATGGTCAGTTGAATTAGTTAGTGTTAACTTGATTCGTTTTATTTTTTTGTTGACTTAATTGCCTTAATTGTGTGGTGTGAGCTACTTATAAGTAGTATATGAAGTGAGTGTCAACGTAATGTCTGGCAGCAGAAGATGGGGGAAGATCAAGAAAGGAAGAGTGGGAACACAATGGAATGTGTATGAAACGCATGAATGGTGAAATGTCAGACAGTGGATTGATGATAGACTGATATTTTTCAAATTAACGATTTACGATATGATGTTCCGATTTCACTGATTAACTCTGTAATTTTGCCCTACCTGTGTTCTCGTTCACTACAATATTATCAATTGCTAAACAGTTGATGAATAGACAGACCCTTAGCGAATTATAAAATCACTTCATAGTTTGTTGTGTACACACATCATTACTTTTTATTCTCTTCAGCAGTGAATGTTGTTGAATAGAAAACTGTTTTGTTGAAATTCATGTCATGAACAAATGAATTTCAAATATCTTTGAATCAATCAATAAACAAAAAATGGGTTCATTGTGACCTTTGTGTAAATGACCTTTCTCATTTCAAAAATGTCACGGAATATGATATACATATATGATATACATCGTCCGATGGTTAGGCGTTCGCGCACAATACCGAAGGTCCCGGGTTCAAATCCTGCGAGGTGCAGGAGTCGTGGATACACACTGCCACTGATGAGTCCCATACCAGGACGAAACGACCGTCCAATCTTTGAAGGTTTCTAATGTTGGTCTAACAATGATTGATTGATGATTTCAAATGTGTAAAAACACAAACCTCCAAAACTCTGTTTCCATTCTCTACTTGAATTGTCATTTTGATTGAATCCTATATGTAAGTGAACATCGAATCGCCTGACATTTTTTGAAATGAGAAATGTCATTTACAAAAAGGTCACAATGAACGCCTTTATTTATTTATTCAAACATTGATTTGACATCCATTCGTAAATGACATGAATTTCAATAAAAGTTTTCAATTTAATATCATTCAGTTAGTCAGTCAGTCAGTTACAATGTAGAACTTCGTATGTACGTACATCAGTTCAACTTGACATAATAGAATAGCACGGAGCCACGATTGTCAATTTGAATCCCATAGTGGTAGAGATAGTGGAAGTATGAGCAGTAGTCAGAAAGTTTAAGGTTCGAAGTATAGTCCAGTGCCCTACCGTGGCTGCTACCTTGACGTGGTGGTCGGGCTTGACTGTCGTGATGACCCAGCCGAGCTATACTGGCTGGAGCATATGTTCCTGAAGATTCTTCCGTACCAGCCAGGCAGGTCGATTGGAGAACAATCAGACTAAAAGCAGCTATTCAAGGTCTGATGGCGAAGTCGTACTGCTGACTGTGATGGAGAGGTGTGACAGCAGTAAGGTGTTTCCCTTGGACAACCAGCATCTGCAGTGATGCTGCCTTCTCACAAGGAAGGAAGGGTTAGAAACGGTCAACCCTCTAAATGTCACACCTCACCCTACCTCATGGATTTCCGTCTCCATCGTAAGGGTGCCCACTAAGGGCTTTTAAGAGCGGAGCTAATACTCAAAAAATCCTTCACAAAAAGGCCGTGCGTGACCGGTCTTAAGCAGTTGTCCCTTGGGCTCTGCGGTCACGCCCCCAGGTCCCTAAGACCAACACTAATCTACCCTCCTTTTCAGGTTCCTCAAGAAACAACCTTCCACGGTGTGGGCAGCCGGGAAGTGACAACCGCCCTCATACCCGTAACAGCACACGAGACCAAATTGGTCAAAATCAAATCCTTCCTACACCCAAACATACCCGTAATCCAGTGAAATAAAATTAAACAGAGAAAAATTAAAAGTGATGGGAAATTCAGGAGATTAGAATTTGAGAGAACACAAAGAGTGGACGCACCTGCGCTATGGCAAACGATTTTGAGTCATGTCGCTCAAGGTCTTTAACCATCAGCGACTAATGTTTCACTGACCACCCCAACTTGGTTATCTACACACAGTTCAACACAGTTCAGCCTAGTTGTCTGTGACTTCATGGATTTCTGCCATGTTTTGACTTGACCACTCCTAGGTTTATTTCAACCTTACTCCTATATCACACAACAAAGCTCGACATAACATTATTCAGTGTTGAATGGAACAATCGACAAAGATTAATGCAGAATATACTAAGAATCGGTTTTATATTTCACTGGGATCTCTGCATCAAAAGTTGATATATTGACAAATTCGTGACTAATTAGAGATGAACACATGTGTCACATGATGTAATAAAGTTTCCTCAACAAACTTACTATGATCTTAAAAATATTCGTTTCAAATGTAATGACAAGTAGGAGATAAAGTCCCATGAGCATTGAACTATGGATGGTCGCGTAATGAAGTAATCAAGATCAGATTGTAGTGAACGGAACACAGGTGGGGCAACTGGATTGCATTTAACAAAAACTACAGTTACTCAGTAAAATTGGAAAACCATATCGTAAATCGTTCATTTGCAAAATATCAGTTCATCATATCGAACTGGACTGTTCCTGTTGCAAAACATCAATCCATTGTCACTATTCATGCGTTTCATACAAATTCCATTGTGTTCTTCTAACTCTTCCTTTCTTGATGTTCCCCCATGTTCTGCTGCCAGACACTCTCGTCATATACTACTTATAAGTAGCTTGCACCACAAGATTAATAATAATAAAGGGAATAATATGAGTTGAAATCATTCAATTCTCTAATTCAAACTCTGAATACGAGAGAAGGGAAAATGATGTAATCAAAGCAAAACACAAAGAAATATCAGCTATAAACTACTACTGTTTATTTTTAATAAACTAGTTTCAGTTTCAAAAGTGAAACACAGACAGTTTTGTACAACATACAGTCAGTAAATTATCTTACTACATTTCTCTTGAAATCATGAATCGATCAACGTTAGACCACTGATCGGATGTTTTTTCTCAATGTGGGACTCATCAGTGGCAGTGCGCATCCACGACTCCTGCAACTCGCATGATTCGAACCCAGGACCGTGTGTCTTTCGCGTGAAAGCCTAACCTCTGAACCACTGAGCCGAGTCATTGTCAACCTTCAATCAATTCACGCACGGTCTTGCGCAACTTCATCCACTGTCTTCGGTGAGCACTGCTTCACACTCGAGTTGCTGGAGACGATTCCTCACACGGAGCTAGTCACTAGTGAACACAGGTAGTTTGCATTATACGGTTGTGCAGATTGTTGAGTTACTGCTTAAAATCATGAAAGGGTCAGTTTTAGACTGGCATTCAAAACCTAGAAGCATGTTTGATTATCAATAGCATTAAGTCATATTTAAACAAATCGTTATAGCTTTCAGTTTACTTGAACTAAAAATGAATGACCATTTCATATTTTCAAATTTGAGCATGCGTTAGACTATAACCCTTTATACCGATTGACATCACAAATCAATCATTGTCAGATCACCTTTAGAAACTTTGAAGCACTTATTATCACTGACAGTGCGTATGCACGACTCCTGCTACTAGCTGTAATCGTACTCAGAACTTTCGGTATTGAGCGTGAACGCTTAACCTCTGGATCACTGAGCCACCCGAAGTCTAACTCTGATGAATCTGGGTTTTTTGTCCGATTACTGCCTACACTCAACAGAGTTGATATGCACTGGTCAAATCTTCTCGCCAAAACTCCATACTGTTGAACGAAACGGCCGTCTTTCATTGCTTCCAGGTTTCTACTAGTAGTCTAACAATGCTCGATTCATGATTTCACTACGTAAAAACAATGCTCACCATAACTCTAATTTAAAAAATATCTAATCTCTACTTAATCTATGAATTCTGTCTAATTTCAATATTTAGGTCATGCTTCCACCACAATGCCAAGATTTCCACAACTCACTATTCAATCCGATGTAAATCTTCCACCGTCTTGTCCATTAACTTTCAATTATAATTCACCTACAGCATATTTAAATTCCCCGGGGTCATTTACATCAGCTGGTAATTTTTTATCAACAACAACAACTATACCAAATATATTGAATATTACACCGACTGTTGGTGCAATTCAAACCTTATTACCAAATTTAACATATAACATTTTAACTACACTTCAACATGATCAACGCAATCCGTCATTTGCAACAAATCAATCACAACAACCAGCATTAGGTCAACCACAACCACAGCAACAACAACAGTCGTCGTTATTACATCAACATACTCAACCGATGCCAACGATCCCATTGGACATTGAAACATTGAAACAACAAATTCAATTTCAAAATTGGTCCACTGCAACTCCATATTCATTGATAACATTAAATCAAAAAGTAAATCGATTTTAATGAGGTTCATTTTAGAGGTTTGGCATTATAGTATTTATTTTGTTTCTTGTTTGAATGGAATAAATTTTTATTGATTGTTATGAGCGCCTAGTTTAATTAGTAAATTTGTTTTGATGGCGTAAATATATTTGAGAAACTGTGAAAAGAACTTAGTTACTTGCATATTCATGCCTGTGATCCCTAGTGAGGCTTGGGGGTTACCACCAGCATTCTTCAACCAACTTTGCCTTGAGCCTTGCTTTCCAGTTCAATACAACTGCTATTCATTTTGTTCACGTCTATTTCCAATTATGAGCCCAGTGCGTTTGTTGGTTATCCTCTTCTCTTTTAACCTTGAAGATTTCCAGTTAGGACTAGACTCATGATGCAGTTTAAAGATTTATTCAATGTGTATCCTATCCACATCCAGCGCTTCTTCCTAATTTCTTCTTCTGCTGGAATCTAGTTTGTTCTCTTGTGATGGCCAATGTATCTCTAGTTTCGTGATGGTTGATATCGAATGTGTTCTTTGTAATTTGCTCGTCTAGGCAATCGTCACCAAACAGCGCCTGATGGTTATAAATCAGAAGACAAACACGAGGGGTTGGTTACGTTTATTCATGGCAGACAACAAAAGGACCAGTAGACCACAAGCACATTAACTAGCGAGTTGGTGAATCGGGTAATGAATTAATAAGATTAAAATGTTCGTATATATACATAGGGAAATGTCAAGCCATCGAGATATTTAAGCGTTTAACATTGAAGCGAATAGGATGAATATGCGTGTAGGCGTGTAAGCAATGCTCAGTCGTGCCAGCTCATACAAACCACACAATGATAAAAGCCAATGGTACATACAAGTTATTGTTATACAAATGGCATGGTTAAATAAATTAATCGAAATGCTTGACCAAATTAAATACAAGCGAACTTAAATGTACGTAAAGACAGTATACTCTCTCATAGTTAATTTGTTTCGGGTGATGTCTGGTCAACATATTTGAAGTATTTTGCGGTAGTTATATCACAACTACATAAATTAACCCTCTATTGTCAAGGGTAATTTTACATTGGTTTTCAGGAGAATCAAGGAGACTGCCCACGTGTTAACATTCCAACGGGAATAGTTAGGCTCAGGTACCTGACATTCTGGTGGACCAAAAGTATCCTGCGTAGACAACTGTTATTAAATACTTGTATCTTCTGGATAATATTGTTGGGTAATATTGTCCAGATTGACAGGGGAGGTCTCTTGATTGAACTAACGAGTTCGCCAAAATAGAAGTGGATTTTTTTTTCCTCACTGAGATAATTATCTAGCGTGTATACTATTAATATGTTGAGCCTATATGGCTTGTTCCAGCCTTTGAATAAATGAGTAAATGATCCCTTCGTCTCAAGTTATTCACAAGTCTCTGGGGCTGATAACGTTGGCTATACTGAGTCCATTGTGCTAGCGCTTACCTTTGTCTAACTATAAATTTACCTAGTCATGTTTGGTCATATTAAGTTTCACTCAGTCACCTTCTCCGCGTCGATTCGATTTGTATTTACGATTTTGATTCTGATGCTTGTTTTGTGTATCAATGACTGTGTCAAAAATAAACTCATCCAACTGAGTACGTACTTCACCCATTAATTAATACTGTTATCAAACAAATCAGGGTTGGTCTAAGAATGATATACAGAAGATATTGAATGGAGGAAGATTTGTTTTATCGAATGTTCAGTAATTGTCAATTAGAATTATGGAGATTAGTGTTTTCACACATTTATAAATCATCAATCAATCATTGTTAGATCACCATCAGATCAATCAGAGTTAGACATTAACACCGTCGGATGTCGGCGTTCGCGCACAAAGTCGAAGATCCTGGGTTCGAATCTTGCTAGGTGCAGGAGTCGTGGATGCACATGGCAGAAAAGTCCCCTACCAGAACGAAGCGGCCGTTTGAATGTTCAATTGTTCAGTCACATTGAAGTCGAATTCCTTGCCACACTAAAGTTGATATTCAATTAAATCAAAGTCGGTTCAAGTTGATTTAAAATTCCACTTCCTACAATCACCCTTCTAAAATATTTCTGTCAAGTTTAGACTGATAGTAATAATTTAAAACTTTTATTAGAGAGTTGATTGGAGATTAGTGTATTTGATTGTAATAATGAACCGATCATTGTTAGACAACTATTAAAAACCTGAAAACACTGGACGGTCGTTTCGACATCCTATGGGACTCCTCACCGGTAGTGCGCATTCACAATCCTAGCCCGCGGGACTCGAACTTAACACTTTCGGTCTCGCGCTGAGCTGAAATCCAACGGTGTAAATCACTTCTTAACATTATGAAACCTAACCCTTTGTGTCCGGTAGGTTACTGACCTACACACTACCGAGTTGCTCTTCACTGATCATGAACTTCTCACTAGAACTTCCAGAATTTCCTTACGACACTTGTCACTAGTGATCACATTTTGTAAATTTTTTCATGATAAAGTTAACATTGAAATCTAATATCATTTTTTAAACCCAAAATTGTTTTCGCTTTCATTTTAAACAATTTTTTTTAGACTTTAGGACAAATTCAATCACCTACAAATTTGTTAAATTTTACTCCAAATCAAAAAATCACCACCACCAGTTTACAACCACCCGACGGGACAACACTCACAACACCGACAACTCCCACGACTCCATTGAATCTTACTGATACATCGCCTACCATGTGGTTACTTCCAGCGAAAATTCCACGGTACGTATAATAAATAAATAACTTAGTCAGTTTACAAAAGATTCTCCGTAATAGTTCATTTCAATAATTGTTTATATATTTCTTCTCCTCTATATATATTTATTTGAAAAATACATCCAAACCCTTTCATTTTGTCAATTTCTACAGTTCCTTCAAGAGTATTATTACTCTTCATTCAACAAATACTTCTTCATTAGTCAGGTAGGTTATTTCATCACATACACTCAAACACACACATAAAAACTACTACAACAACACTATATACTACTACTAGTAAGTATTATTGTTTCTGAATTAGAAAAATATACATATATACACATACATACGTACATACATAGAAGTATACTTCGCAAACTATTATTACTATTATTATATTGCCGTAATCAGTAGTAGTAGTAGTAGTAGTATATATATGTATATATATATTTATATATCTATGTAGATGATAATTATTAGTTGGGAAGTGGAATTCTGTGTTTTTGTTACTCCAATCGTCATTATTAAATAGATAGATGTATGTGAGATTGACGCTGAAGTAATTTTTCCCAAGATCTGTTTTCACAGTCTGATTAATTAACTGTTTTGTCCCTTAATTCAAATTAATTTCTCTCTAGTAGCTACAAATATGATTGTGTCACTTAGTTTCAAATGGATTTCATTTTGCTTTGGTCTGCTTCTTTTAAATGTTAGTTGTTTTATTATTGGGTGTGTGTGTTTAATTTTTATTAAGTAGAAAGTTGTCTGCTTTTCATGTTTACATTAGTTTATTAGTATGTGTAAAAAGGAAAATATATTTTCTAGAGCGAAAAATATCAATCAATCAATCATGTATTCAAGGAAGCAGGGGAAAAAATGTTGGAGTTTTTCAATTTTCAAATATGTTCAAAGTTCAATCTTGATAGAACACACACATACACCACTAGTTTGTTCTGTCAGTTTTCATTGTTGTCAATTTTTATTACTTACAGTAGGTAAATGCTGTTGTTAGGATAAAGGTACTAAGTAAGGGTGGCAGATCAAGCGATGAAGTATTGGAACTTTATCAGTTAAGGTGATTTAGGACATGTGTTACGTGTGTCCAACCACTGACTGAATAGACGAGAGATGATGTCTAATGTAGGAGTAAGTTGGAAGAAAGCTAGGTACGGCCAAACCAAAACATGACAAAAATCCATGAAATCACTAAGAAATGTTGGTAAGTGTAATCTACGAGGTTGGGGTCCGAGAGACAAAAGTAACAAGTGGTTCGATGCCTTGAATAGAATGGCTCAAAATAACTTGTAGATGCATCCATTCTTTGTGTTCTCTCAAATTCTAACCTTCTGAATTCTTCATCACTTTTATCCTTTTCTTCTTAAATTTATTTCACTGAATTATACTTCTTGAATAATAACTTCAAACCCTAACTTTTCGCATTATTGCTAATACTTCTACTACCTCTACTACTATGGAATTTGAACTGACAATCACATCTGTGTGTGCATATGTGGTATCGCATGTTGAACTGATGTACATATGTACGACGTTCTACGTTGTAGCTGATTGACTGACTCTTACTTGTGACTAAACACGAATCAATCAAGATGTTTTGTAAAAGGCGAAATCAAATCATTTTGAGAAGACAAACTGTAATTATGATGTATGCTTTAGATAATGTTTTTTGCGTAAATTTCCAAGTTAACTGAAGTCAAAAATCATCAATCAATTATTGTTAGACCACCATTAGAAACCTGGAAGCACTAGATGGCCAATGGAGTTCAACCCTGTTGGGTGTAGGCAGTAACTAGCAAACAAAAATGGGTGAGGTCGCGCAAAATCCCTAGATCAATCAGAGTTAGACATTAACACCGTTGGATGCCGGCCCAGTGGTCCGATGGTTAGGCGTTCGCGCACAATACTGAAGGTCCCGGGTTCGAATCCTGCGAGGTGAAGGAGTCGTGGATGCGCACTGCCACTGATGAGTCTCATACCAGGACGAAACGGACGTCTTTCAGTGCTTCCAGGATTCTCATGGTGGTCTAACAATCAATGAATGACTGATGATTTCAAATGTGTGAAAAACACAAATCTCCAAAACTCTGCCCGATAAGTCAAAAATACCAACTTTCAAATCTCAAACTTATCATCAGTCTACATCTTGTTTCGGATTTTTGTACAAAAAAAGTGTCTTGTTTGCAAGTACAAAGAGTGTTTCAGACAAGTACGAAATAGATATTTAGTTCTTGAGTGAGTCTTCTCTGCAGTTCCCTACTTTGGTTCATCTATGCTGTGTTGCTCTTTGTCGATCTTGTAGAGGATCATTAGGTGTACCATATGTCTTTCACGTTGCTCGCTATTCCATTGAGCAGTTGATTGAGTGTCTGCATCGTACACTTGTTGGCAATATATACCGACGAAGAGATTCATGGTCGAAAAAGTCGGGTTGTTCTCGAGTAGAACCCCTGTCTTTCTTCCATTTTTGAACAACAAGAAGCGCGTCCTACTCGTAGGATTTTGACATGGTGGAACTTTGAATTTTCTTCACCACCTCAATATATCCAGTTCTATCTAGTATCTTTTTAGTAATTTTCCGATTAATATCAATTCATGATGTCGCAAAAAATCAATGATTTTCATTGTAAGATTATACAACAATATAAACCAGTTGAATGTTTGAATAAATATGCCTACATTCACATTATGGGGTTGTGGAAATTGTTTGTTGACTGACTTTTTGAAATTACAGGAATCGATCAATGTTAGACCATGATTAGAAGTAATGTGGAAGCACCACTGGACGGTTGTTTTGTCCTAGCATGGTAAGCAAACTCTTAAACGCTTGACTTATAAGGTAGCAATCGACGATAACATCTTAAACTGACATCAAATCGCATTCAATAACTCTCATTCAAGGACGAAATGACTGTCCAGTTGTTAAGATATTCATCCAATATCCTAAGAGAACTATCGGTCAAATCCTATTGGTCGATTTCTATTGGTCAAAATTATGTCCAAGTCAAATACCTCAATGTTGTCTCTTATTGATCATCCGGACTGTCAATGTCATTTCAAATGTTACTTCCTATTGGTCGTCTTAACTGTCAATGCCACAGAATTCGATGCTGTTTCCTATTTGACCAAAATGTATAAATACGCATTATCTGTAACATTTTATGACCACGACCAGAACCAGGACCCAGTCCCGGATCCCTAGTCCGGGATACTGTTTCTCTTCTGGATTCGGACCTCGTACTTTCTGGATGCTTGTAGAATACAGGTTCTACTTCATATCACGTTTTCTTATTTTTTTCTCAATATGGGGGTTGAGATAATCAGATTTGAGTAGCATGTCGTGTAACCGAATCCTCGATCCTCGCTCTCGTTTTCCGACTAAAGTAAACTCGTAATAGTTATTTCTATCAAATATTTCAAATTTTCTTTCTCATCACATGATATCATTTCGGTTAGACAATTTTGTTCGGTTTAAGAAATTTCACCAGTAGTGTATAGCTGTTAGATATCTACATTCAACTGATTACTGTTCAGTTAAACTGAAAAGATGTGAACTATTGTAGACAGATAACTAAGCGGGAACACTTTTTCCGGCTTTACTAGTACTTGACTTGATGTTAATTAGTCAAATGTAAACTGTTTACAATAGTTTACACTGTTCAACAGGTGGACCCAGCTGACATGTCATAAATATGTATTTTTTTTAAAAAATTAAACTGATTCTTGCAATTTCAGCTTACTAACAAAAGAATAATATTTTCGGGCAGAGTTTGGGTGGTTTGTGTCTTTACACATTTGAAATCATCAATCAATCAATCATTGTTAGACCACCATGAGAATACTGGAAGCACTGAAAGACGTCCGTTTCGTCCTGGTATGGGATTCATCAGTGGCAGTGCGCATCCACGACTCCTTCACCTCACAGAATTCGAACAACGAGACCTTCAGTATTGTGCGCGAACACCTAACCATCGAAGCTGTTAGTTAACTAAAGCTCATAGACGAAGTATTAAGAAATTAGAAATTCGGTATTGCGTTTGCACACAACACGAATGTCCCGGGTTCGAATCCCACGAGGTTCAAGAGTCGTGGATGCGCACTGCCACTGATGAGTCCCACACATCAGGACGAAACGGTTGTCCAGTGATTCCAGGTTTCTCATGGTAGTCTAACAATGACTGATTCATATATTTAGTAATATAATAGATCAATCAAACTTTTATTTTGAAACGACAATGATGATTATTATCACCAACTTCAAAAGTGGCTTAATTTAAATGATCTTCGTCTTCTCATCAAATACAGAGAAAAAATGTTTTATAAGTTTTTGGAAATTCATAATTATTGATAATTCAATTATGCAAAGGAAACCACCATCATCGATATCAATAAGAAAGAATATAGTAGTTGTGACAACATCTTGTGTGTAGAATGAATGTATATTATAATTTCTAAATTAAGAATATACTGGTTAAGGTAACATTGAGAAGTCAAGAACACGCACCACTATGAGAATTCTCTCTTCAGATCAATCCTGTTGTTTTACATTTAGCCAACAGTTATCTTTTCGTTTGCTGAGGGAGTATGCGAAGCAGCGTTTGAGGTAATCTGGGATAGAGAAAACCTTCGGAGAGATCAAACTGAACCGATGACTTAGTAAGCACATACAATAAATAATACAATTACAACTACGACAAATAAAATTGACAATTGAAACTAGAAGTTGATAGACTAGGGTTTTGAATACTTTACACCTTGTAATCTTTTCAAACTGTATCACTTGTTACTTACTTAGTTACTTACTCCGGTTATTCCGAACGGAGCATACACCTCCGACCAGTATACTCCAACCTACTCAGTCCTGAGCCTCACTTTTCAGTTCTGTCCAATATCCGTTCATTCTTCTGATGTCTGTCTCCATTTCTCGACGTAATTTGTTACTTGACCTTCCTCTTTTCCTTTCACCTTAAGGGTTTCAAGAGACAGCTGGTCTTGTGATGCAGTTGGAT